GGGGGGCTGCAATTGTATGGGGAATATAAAAATAAAATTTATTATTTAAAAAAAAAAAACAAAAATAAATAGCCGACCTGTTAAAAATTAAAAAAAATAAATAAATAAAAGCTAATGTCTTGTTTTTATATTTTTAAACCTAAAAACTGTAGAACAATAAATGTTTATTTAACTAGAGTGGGTGAGGAAAAGTTGTACCCCATGTAGTCCTCATTTTATCTCTTCCCTTCACACTGTCTTTCCAAGCCACCAGGAATCCTAAATCCTTTATATTCAAAATATATCCAAAACCCTATGGAAGATAAATCAATAAAGCTTTTGGTAAAATAAATAAGAAAATATCTTTCCCTATTGGCTTTGGAGTAGGTGAAGAGTTCTTAAATAAGACACACATATGCTGACACTAAATGAAAAAAAACGATAAATTATACTAAATTAAAATTAAATCTGTTCCTCAAATCACATGATTAAGAGACCACTAAGAAAGTTTTTCCTATTCACATGTAAGACTCATGTCCAGAATATTTAAAGAATCCTTAATAGCATTAAGAGAAAGACAGGCAGTTCTAAAGAAAAGTAGCAAAGATTTGAACAGGCAATCACAAAAGGATAGCCAAGTAAACAAAGGAAGGTTTTTAAATAGTATTTATCATGGAATTCAAGTTAAAACTACAATGTGGTATCACTGTATCCCAAATTAAAAAGGCAGATTGTAGTAAATGTGGACAAAACTGTGGAGGCACTGAACTTTCATATACCCCTGATGGCAGTGCAAATTACAACAATCACTTCAGAAAACCATTTGGTAATATATACTAAAGCTGAATATCTGGGAACCCCAGGAATTCCAGTACCAGAAATAGACCCAAGAGAAGCACGCACTCGATGTATGTGTGGAAGGTAGAGCTTTCCAAACCTTACACCCTGAGCTGGAGCTGATGAGAAAAAAAGGGTGCAGCTGGGGCTTTTGGTAGTTAAGCTGCTGGGATTTTGATAATGGAATGGCTGGTAAGGAGGGGTGTCTCTGGATTCTTCCAGCTTGCCACAGGCTTGGTCTCTGCTCAGTGGATGCTATCTAGGGTAGGACAGACGGCATCTGGCCATCTGCCAGTCAGTCAATTCTCCCTCTCTCACTCTCTTGCTCTCTCACTCTCTCTCACTATGTAAATAAATGGTATAGTTGTTTTTGTTTTTGTTTTTTTTGTCACATGGGCTTGCTTTTGGGTCATGTTCTGTGTTCTCAAGCATCCACATAAGGACCCATCAACTGGGTTAACCCCTAGGCTTGCTCCATTTCAGCTATAATATAGCTAATGAAATGAAATGTATATAAATGTATATTTATACTTACAGAGAGAAAGAGAGAGAGAGAGATTGAGAGAGAGAGAGAGAAGGGGCGGGAAGGGGAGGAGGGGAGAGGAGAGGAGATTTCTATTTTCCATTAAAAACAAACCACTTCTGACCTCCTCTTCTGTTATCTTCAATCCAAAACAACTGCAGTAGCAGCAGTATTGCCCCAGCTCCCCTATTACATCCCTACAGGCTTTACCTGTAGCAAGAAGGAAAATATTTAAGACAGAACCTAGGTGATATCTGTCCTTGGCTCATAACCAGTAGTAGCTTCCCATGTCAATCAGAGCAACATCTTCACAGGAGACATATATGCTTGGCAGCTTATATAAGGTAAGCTTACTACCTACAACTGTCACTTTATCCTTTATCCTGATTTATTTTTCTTTGTATTTCTCATCACTAACTGACATACCATTCACTCGGTTATTTGGTTTTTTATTTATAATTGATCTCTTCACCACCACTTGTAACCTACATTACAACAAGGACTTTGTCTTTATGCTTTCTATCCCTGACATCTAGAATGGTGCCTGGTATATAATAGGTGATGAATGAGCCAATGTGATCATACCCTTCTTTTATAGGATAGGAAACGATGAGAATGAAATTGCAATAGGAAACAAAAAAAAAAGAAATTATTTACAAGATGTTATTTAGGAGTACAGCCTAGGTCTCTTTCTATTCTCCTCTTCTCTCTTTCTCCTTCTCCTTCCCTTTCCCATACTCACACATGTACACACAAGAAGAAAGAAATAGAACAAGTCTCTTAATGGAGGAAAGTATAATGTAAGCTACACTGTTCGATGCAATTTATAACCACTTCACTAGCATGATAATCACACAAATGCATTCTATATGATGTGTGTGTATGTGTAAGTGTGTGTGTAATGATAGAGACTTTGTAAACCTAGGGATTAAATGAGGATGGTATCCTGGTAAAGATGCACTACATTGGAATTAGGCATTTTACATGAACTTTGCTTTGTAAGCTCGTATGACCTCTTGAATACATGATAATAAAGAAACTTTTTAAGCCTTCTTGCCAAAATGTGGAATCTAGGACTGCTCCCTTCAACATATTGCATAAGAAAAAAATTTCAAACAAAATTAGACCGTGTTGTTAGGTCCTGTCTACATTGCAGTAATCAAAAACTTTTCAGGCCCTAAAGGTGAATTTTTTGTAAGTGAGTTATCCAGAACATAAGATTGTTTCGATCAGAAGTCTCACTTCCCTGTTCTCAGAATGAATCATAGAACCCTCAGAGCAGAAAAGTGTATTTAAGGTTAATGCCTGTTTTTTTTTTTTTTTTTAAGATTTATTTATTTATGCATGCAAGAACTGGGGTACAGAGGTGCGGGGTAGGGGGGCATGAGAGGATTCACCAGAGATAGATTGGGGTACAGAACATGCAGAGTGACTGAAATAGACTGCTGAGGGGAGCAGTGGGTGAGACAGGAGAGGTCTGCTGTGACATATGGGTAGCTCCCTGGCGGGCCAGGATCGAACTTGTGCTACAGAGGCTGTGGATAGCTTCACAGTGCTGTGTTTAACCCCTTGCACCACTAGGGAGGCCCAATGCCTGTTTTTAATACAGATGTCAATTACCTTTTCAAAGGGCTACCCAATGGACTTGCCACCTGAATAGCTGGTCTAAAATCTAACTAAAAGTACATATGTGCCTATGGGGAGAAGGGAAGGTCATTTGGTTGTAAACCTACTTGACCCTTCAGTTTTTGTTTAGAAAGAGTTTTAGACCCTTTCACTTACTAAATAGCTGACTACATGGTTTTACTGGTTTGTTTTTTAACTGAAAAAAAAAAAAAAAAGGTAAAAATAATGGTAAAAACCCACATACACAATACGTGCTCAACTACTAGTATTAGTCTCCTACCCTCCTCCTCCTCAGAAAGCAGTTAAGCATAACATCAAGTCATAACTTTAAAAGCAGATTAAATAATAAAATGAAGCTTAAAGTACATTGAGTGTAACAAGGCCAGTGTCAGAAAATCATTCATTCATCAAGTAGTTAAATGTTTTAATAAGGCAGAAAATAATGGTTAAAAGGAATGATGACTTTTACTTCAATACCAAAATTAATTTTGAAGTTCAGACTTACAGATCAGGAAGGAAAGTGTGGAGTAATGAGGATTATGTGTGTAACTACAAGGTTGGAATACTTTCTTCATGACCGTATCATATGGAAGCTGTATAATCTAGAGCAAGTAATTTAACCTCTCATAATCTCAACTTCCCAGAAATGCAAAATGAGGGTGATTAAAACATATTATATTGCTGGACCTTTCTAAAAAGTATTTGAAGTCTTAGATCTAAAAATGTTTTATATCAGAAATATGCTATGCTATGCTAATGTATAGAGTTTATTAGTGTGCTAATATTCTTGTCTTCACCTCCTAAAGCCACTTCTCTAAGTATTAACTAAAGTTACCCCCCATCCTTGAGATCTGCCTAGCCCTACTATTTTAGATTGGATATTATTACTAACTAAATAAGAATTTTTTAGAGTTCCATTTCTGAAATGCCTTGCCTAAATTGAACTTTGACCTTCTCTGAAACCCAAATTACTAATCCTGTACATATATGAACAAGCAGCATCCTGAGACCCTTAAGTGTAGGGGAGTGGAAGATACAGATTGAAAGGTAAAGAACTCTCTTCCTTCTCTAGCTCAGGCTGGAGATTGTCCTGTTTTCCTAATATTTTCCTGTCAATAATATAAAAAATAGAATATTTTCTATAATAGAAAAAGTGACTACTTAATGAACACTTACTATGTGCCAAACACTGTGTTATGCTTTATTTCATGGAATTCTCACAACAGAATAATCATTCTGAACTGTTATTGACAAGAAGATTATAGTCAGAGTAACTAAGTAATTTGACCAGTGTCACATCAAATAAGTGTCAGAGTCAGGATTTGAACCAAAGTCTTCCTAGTTCCTTTCCTTCTGTCGATTGATTATTTATTTCCTACATTTCAACATATTTTGTATGTCTGTTTGCTTTTCTGCCCCTTTCTACTTTTATCCTTGGTCTTCCCATTACAAGTAGTTTAGAGGCCAATAACAAAGATGATGAAGGTTGGTCCCTGTACTTAAGGAACTGTTATAATCCTTCAGAAAGATGACAGGTGAACAAATCACTCTATGACATGGAATGATTTAAGAGATCCATGAAACACGGAACATCAGTCTCCCCACCTATAACATGCAAATAATATTCTACTGTTTAAGGTTGTTGTTAGGATAGAGTGGAATGCTTTTGTCAAATGTTTGGCAAAGACCCTAAGATATAGTAAGTGCTCAGTATATGGAATCTTGTATCCAGGTAAACAACCAGGATACAAAGGTAGAAAAGCAACTTGGCGCCAGATTTTGAGAGTCCCAAATGCCACTCTAAAAGAGTTTGGACCTTCAGATTGATGAAAACGGTTGTTCTAAGGTCAATAATCATCCTGAAGAAAAAAAAAATTACAGTTAATGCTATTTAACATTACCTTTCAAACTTTGTTGTAAGTGAAATGGCGTTGATGGAACAGTTATAACTGGCTTAAAGATGTTTTGGATTTGAAGTTCTGAAAGGAAAGATGAGATTTTCAAGTTTGATGCCCTGTATTTTTTTTTCCCACAGTAATTAGTGAATGCCAAAGACAGCAACTGGAGTCTGTGACCTACTCTTCCCGCTACGCTCTGGGTCTCTTTTATGAAGCTGGCACCAAGATTGATGTCCCTTGGGCTGGGCAGTACATCACCAGTAATCCCTGCATACGCTTCATCTCCATTGATAATAAGAAACGCAATATAGGTCAGTACCTCCATTATTTCCCTTAAATACATTAACAATGATGAGTGTAGATCATGAAAAGGGCTGTTTAATTGAGTGTTGTCATTCTGAACGGAGCAAGCATTTCACTCTGAGCCACAAGGGATAAAATTTAATGTCACATTTGGCCAATAATAAAATACAAAGTGAAACCAACAAAGTTTCTCAAAAAAAATCATTAACCACATAGTGTGTATTACTGAGTTTATGAAAATGATTCAGGAGGTTTAAGATTTCAAAATGGCCCAGATTCTATTGCTTTGTTTCTATTGCTTTGTTTCTATTGCTTTGTTACTATTGCTTTGTTATCTACCCATATGCAAATGCACTTCTCATCATTTGTTTCTTGGTAGAGTTTGTTTTTGTTTGGTGGCTTTGTTTTTAACATTTGATAAGTGCTGCTCTTTCCACTTTCCAGGATAGAAATAAAAAGTGAATTTTACTGTGTAATGAAACCCTTCACTTGGATATAATTTTATTTAATTTTCATCTGAAAGACAACATTACAGGATTTTGTATTCTGTATAACTAAAATGACAGGTAAAATGTTTCCTAGAGCTTTACTAGATTGGGATAAAAATCCACTCCACTTTTTTTTTAATAGTTAAAAAAATTAGGGCCTCCCCAGTGGCGCAGCGGTTGAGTGCTGGGTTGCGAAGCTGCCCGCGGCCTCTGCAGCGCCAGTTCGATCCCCAGCTGCTCCCCGGCCACCGGAGGAGGGTCCCACATGGCGCGCAGACCTCTCCTGCCGCCCGCTGCTCCCCTCAGCAGTGTACTTCGGTCCTTCTGCCTGCTCTGCTCCCCACTCTGGCTCTGGTGAATTCTCTCACCCTCCCGCGCTTCTGACTGTACCCAGTGCATGTATAAACAAACAAAACAAACAAACAAACAAATAAATAAATAAATAAATAAAAACATGCCTCTATAAAAAAAAAATTAAAAAAAAAATAGTTAAAAAAATTAGATTTGAATTGCAAGATTAAGCATAAGCTGATTCAGTTCAGGCACAAAGGTGAAAGTATGTTCTTATTTGTAGGACTGTGGTGATCCTTGAGATACTGCTTTTTGTGGAATAAACTGTAATGATTGAACTCAGTTTTTGAAAGTGGTCATCATTTCAATTTGTAATAGCGTTTTATGGTGCAATGATGGGTTTTATCAACCCATTAGTTAGAAGCCTTGCTTGATAAAATCACCAACTAACATTTCTTGGCTTGCTAGAACTTTATAATGATGGAACTGGGCTGGGGCATGGTTTTATATCATAGCACATGATCTTAGAAAAATGTTTCCTTTATAACCTAAAACTCCCTAAGGATTGGACTGTTTATGTTAACATGATACCACATATATGTACAATCAGCAGCTCATGAAATACTTTGTAACAGCAGTGGACTAACAATTTTTAACTCTATAACTGCTTTGTACTGACAAAAGGAAAATAGCCCTTATCTTCCCAAGTCCTTTGCCATAAATTAGACATTATCCTTTGTGTATTGCTTCATAAGATCTGATATCTGTTAGGATATATTCAATGAACTGTATAATGGAAAAATAATTTAACTTGTTTAAACAGCATAAGGAAATTTGTAATATTATCTGCTGTAGGCTGAACTATATTCCCCAGTTCATATATGGAAGCCCTAACATCCAATATAATTATATTGGAAGATAGGACTTTTAAGAGGTAGCTAAGGTTAAATGAGGTCCTAAGAGTAGGACCTTATAAGATGAGGTAGAGAGAGAACTCTTTATCCTCATGCACATACCAAGGAAAAACCAAATAAGGAAAGCAAGATGGTGGGTCATTTGCAAACCAGGAGGAAAGACCTCACCAAATCTTCTGATACTCTGATCTTTGATGATCCAGCCTCTGGAACTGGGAGAAATAAGTTTCTGTTGTTTAAGCCACTCAATCTATGGTGTCTTGTTATGGCAGTCTGAGCTGACTAATACATAATCTAAGAGAAAAAGGTTGGAGAGATTTCAGGATTGGTTGATTTAGGAGTTCAAGCAATATCTTCAAGGATATTGGAGATATATATATATATATATATATATATATATATATATATATGATATATTTGTTCCTTTTCTCTCTTGATGTTGACATCCTGAAAGGTCTTGTTTCAATATGACAGTAGCTAGTAGAATCACATCTAGATCCAACAACATGCTTAGGAAGAGGAGGGACTATTATTATCTCTATCCCTGTCTAAAAAGCCAGGACATTTTTTCTGGAAACTCCTCAATAGATTTCATCTTGTATCTCAAAGGTCAAAATTGTGTTACTCACCAGGCTGAACCAGTCACTGGCAAAAGGGGTGGCACTACAATGAAAAGCCTAGACAGATCAAGATCTGCTCTTGGAACTGGTACTGAGATTTCATTTTAGTCATGTGAGGGATTTATACCTGGATAAAATAGTGTTTTGTTAGGAAGAAAGAAGGGAGTAGTGGATGCTGAATCGGCAACAAATAATGCCCATTATCTTCAAATAGAGTCACAGCTACTGAATGTGACTAAAGTTGAGATATAAAGAGAATTGTGTGTATTTAAAATTATCTTTGAAAAATTCCTTAAAACTGCATAACATTTTGTAGACCAACATAACTTTCAATAAATTTAGTATAACCGTTTCCCCAACATTATATATGTCCCATTTCTTTGGGTGAGGCCTGATGAAATGGTTGGCTTACATTTATAGAACAGAGAGATTTTTTCCTATGATGAAAAGCACATAGGAAAGAAAGAAATAGCAATCATGTTGCTGACAGATTAAAAACACTATACAAGTGCATTTAAGTGTGGGGTGGTGGGTAAATGCATCCATTAGAATGCAGTAGCAATCTATAAAATCAGAGTCATGCAAATTTGAGAGATTGTAACATAGAAATATCAATAAAGATTCACATTGACTACTCTGCAATAATAGAAATACAAAAAAAATGTTTATTGACAATTACACAGTACAAAGCTAGAGGGCCATATGAATTGGAAACCACGTTTTTACTACAACCCATGGTGGTACCACTTCAGACAGAAAAGAAATATCTTCCTTCATTTGTCAGTTTTATGGAAAGTTATTCTTGGATTATGCAAGTTTTAAATTATGGAAGACCTTTAGTAAAGGCATTCTCTAACATAAAATCTAACTGTCTTGCATTTAAACTATTTTCTCACCATCTAGGTCCAGAATGCTATAAGTGGTCTTAGCTGAATGCACATTATATAAATGTCCATATATTGTAACTGCACTGTATTTTATTGATATCTAAATAGACCAATAAGAGTTGTCTCTTTCTGTTACTAACACCATCCCACACCCACCCTTTATTTGGGGTGTTTCATTGACTCAAGAATGAATGCTATAATACAGAAACTCAACTAATGAAGGAGAATATTTGTGTTCTGTCAAGGTAAGACAGCCATAAGATAGATGAAGGAAGACAGAGTTGAGTTCATAAAAGACAGTGAGTTTTTAAGTCTTAAAAAGAGCCAGAAGATAAAGGATTAGTGACCCAAACCAGACAAAGGTCAAGAAGTAATCTTTTGTCAAATGTCAGGAAGAAGCAGTAAAAACAAAAAACCACAACTGCAACCAAAATCTACATAGACAAAAGAGGCTGAATTCCAAGATGAACCAGATCTAACTTCAAGTTATGAGTGTGACACTATATACTTAGGTCTGTTTTTACTAAAACTTGTTCAATGGGACATTAGTTCTTTGAGATGCTTTTTTTCAGAACAGGTCTTGTCATCAAGTAAATTTGTAAAATGCTGTGTCAACTTTACCTTTATTTTGGAAAATGTCAGATAATACCCCATTAATAGAATTCATATAATAAATCACCCTCTCACTCCATTTAATCTGGAATTTCCCAAAGGTATTTAACTGTGGAATATTTTATTTGGGCATCTAATATCCTACAGAAATGGTTTCCCAGGACACAACTGAGAAACCCTGGCTTGATTACTTTTCATGCTACTAACCTTGTCAGGAATTGTAAGCCATATGAGAGAGTTCAGGAGGTCTGGGCCTAAAATGAGAAACCTGAGGTTATTTATTTATTTATTGTTTTGTGTTTTTTTTAATTGAGGTAATATAGGGGTACTCCCCTCAGGTATTACCACAACAATACAACCACCACCAACTCATCCATTGTTTTTCCTTCTCTCTTTGTTTTTACCCCTCCCCCACCCCACCCTACCTTTGTAATTCAATTCTGTTGTTAGTTATCAAGAGTAATTTTTAAGCTTGTCTTTGTCTGACTATTAGTTTAGTTACTTTATATTCCACATATTAGTGACACCATCTGTTGTTTACCTTCTCCTTCTCACTTAATTCACAGCATTATCCTTTAAAGATTAATCCATGTTGCTGCAAATGGCATGGATTTATCTTTTTTGGTTGCTGAGTAATATTCCATTGTGTATATATACCACGTCTCCTTGATCTACTCATCTGTTCTGGGGTACTTTGGTTGAGAAATCTGGAATTATTTAGTGATGAAAGAAGCTTTGTTGCAGATGAACTCAAATGTTGGTGGGGTTAGGTTAGAGACAATTTAGGGTGAAATAAATTAATATCATTAATATGTATAATTTTTAAAAATTATCAATAAGATTGACACAGTTGGAAGTGGGATTTTGTACTTTAAAGACCTAGAGTCAAATTCTGGCTCTGTAACGTGATGTGATCTTGTATGACCTTTGTATTTGTTGTTTTTTTTTTAAGATTTATTTATTTATGCATACATGAACTTGGGTACAGGCCATAGGTGTGGGGGTTAAGAGGATTCACCAGAGACAGAGTGGGGAACAGAACAGGCAGATTGACTGAAATATACTGCTGAGGGGTGCGGGCGGGACAGGAGAGATCTGCTGTGCCATGTGGGTAGCTCCCTGGCCAGGTATCGAACTCATGCTTCAGTGTCTGTGGATAGCTTCATAGGTTGTGTCTTAACCCCTTGTGCCACCAG